GTGTGTGTGTGTGTGTGTGTGTGTGTGTGTGTGTGTGTGTGTGTGTGAGAGAGAGAGAGAGAGAGAGAGAGAGAGATTTCAAAAAGAAAGAAAAGAAAACAACAGCAAAATGTTTCATGTCTCAGAAATGTCCAACTGTGACAGAAGCATAAGGAAAATTCACATAAGAGGGAATATTGGTTCATCAGTTCCAAGATAGCAATGTCTGTCTTCCAGATTGAAGCTATAATGCTTCTTCAGTCTATGGAGTTGGAGCAGGGTCAAGAGCCAGACTGCTAAGAACTCAAACACAACACTTCATGAAATAATAGAGGAAAGAACAACGGGTTTTCTTAGCAGGTGTCCTGGAGTTGCAACTTGTCATTCATGGTTGACAAATTAATTTTGCTGTTGAAAATGGAAACTTTGATTACTTTTATTCAGAGAAGTTTAAAATGTATTATTATTCCTGTTGCTGTGTGTGATGTGCTGGGAATGGGGCTCTCTCATGCCATAGTGTGCGTGTGGAAGTGAGGGGACAGCTCTGTAGTCAGTCTGCTCTCCTTCACCTTATGTGGGTTCCAGGTGTCAAACACAGGTCCTGCACAGCAAACGCCTTTATCTTTTGATCATCTTGCCGTTCTAGGCAACTTTTTTGATGGTCAGAAAAGATAGACATTGATGGTGCTCATGAAGATACAGACGCTAATATGACTATTATACCTCTTCCAAAGAACGCCTCCAGATCAAGGGAGGCATCTTCAGGCTGCTGCTGCATCTTTAGAAACTGGCTAGTGATATAGGTCTGAGATTTAATACCCCTTTCTCCCAACTAGACTCGACAGTGAGCAGGGAATATTACCTAGTTCTTAACACAAACAACATTCTCCTTAGGGCAAGGAGGAGTTTCTCGGGATGGGAGCAAGTTGTCTCATCAGATGTTGGAGCCTATTGTGTATATCTCATACGTAGAAAGGCTCATCACCCTCCTGTGCTTCTGGGTATGCCTGCATTCTGAGGTGGAAGCTCCCCCAGTTGGCTAGCCTGGATACATACCAGGGAATGCTATAAAGAATTGGGGCAGACATTAAAAACAAGCCATGCCTGCAAGCAAACCTTTCCTGCCATATTGGAAAACTACTGAGGCAGAAGCCCCAATAGCCCAGCAGCTTGGCAAGATACTTTTAGGTTAACTTTCTAAAAATAAAATTCAAGTTTTATAAGTGCTTGAAGATATTTTCACAGTTAAAATGACTGCAGACAAGTAATCTGGTCAATAAAAACACTTCAGAAATTATAAAGTTCTGACCTGTTTTTGTTACGCCTTCATATCACTGTGTTTGTGATTATTATTTATTTATAAACAGGATTTTGTTTAGCCAGGTAGTTCCAGAGTACTGAGATCCATACTGTGTCTGGTTTCTATGGTATTAAGGACTAAACACAAGACTCCTATATATGTGCACTGTACTGACTGAGCTACATCCCAAGACTTAATATTCTGATGTACATGTATTTTGTTTTATCATGTTAAAAGCCAACATTGAGGTGGGGGTGATGAGAGAGATGGATCAGGCGTTAGGAGCACCCACCCACACTGTGCAGCTTACAACTATGGGTAACTCCAGCTTCATGGGGGGTCTGACGACTTCTTGTGGCCTCATAGGCACTGCACTCACTTGTCCATATTGGACTGAAAAGATGACTTAGTAACTTAGAAGCATACTGCCCTTGCAGAGGACCCAAGTTCCATTTTCAACACTCAGGTGGCTCACAAGCACATTTAATTCCCATCTCCAGGAAGATATGATCCTTCTGGCTGCTGAAGGCACCTGAATTCTTGTGCATACCCCCTCCCCACCATACACAAAACTAAAATAAAAATTTAAGCAGCTAACATAGCATATACTTCCAAATGCTCTAATAGTAGGATACAGCTTCGAATATTTTCTGTAGGAAAAAATGCAACAAGCAAACATCATTATAAGTGATGCTAAATAGGAAATGATCACATTGTAGCACAACAGGGCCCGTTTTTCATTTGCTTTTAAAGAGCCTTTGTGTAGGAGCTAGAGCGCATGTACTGCTCTGCCAAAGGACCAAAGCTTGATTCCAGCACCCATGCCAGGCAACTTACAACTTTCTGTTACTCAAGCTTCAGGAAGATCTGTCGCCTCTGACATGTACTGGAGTGCTCACATATAGACACAGACAGACATACACACATAATTAAAAATAATTTTGTTTTTTAGACAAGGTTTCTCTGTGTAACAGCCTTGGCTGTCCTAGAACTCGCTTTGTAGACTAGGCTGGCCTTGAACTCAGAAATCTGCCTGCCTTTGCCTCCTGAGCGCTTGAAAGAGTATGGAGGGGGCAGGAGAGAGGGAAGGGGAAGGAGAAGAGAGAGCTGTCTGGAATGAGAGAGTGACTGTTAGCACTGGTGAAGTTCAGAAATGCAAGGTAGGATTTGAAGGCTTTACTGGGAGCTGCGTGGTTTGCGTGGCTTCCTATCCCCGTGAGTCCTTTTTTGGAAAGTTTTTATTTTCAGCACTGAATGTAAACACAGGCTTTAAACTCTGTGAAGAATGTATATGCAGCACCACTTCCTTCCAACTAGCATTCTTAACTACAATTCTTTGGGGTAGGGACTTGCTTCAGTGGTTGAGTACTGGCTGCTCTTGCAGAGGACCACACCCACATGGTGGTTCACAACCATCTGTAACTCCAGTTCCTGGGGATCTGATGCTCTCTTCTGGCTTCCAAGAACACTGAACACACAGTGATATATAGGCATAACAAAATACAGGCAAAGCACCCATACATATAAAATAATAGTAATGACAACATCAACAATAATAAATAATACAAACCTTTTGACAGGGTTCCCAGTATTGTTTATTATTGTTGTTGATGTTGTCATTACTATTATAATTCCCTGATGGTCAGTTTAGGCAGCCTTCTGACAGGCTGGGTCAAGTTGCCTAAACTGACCATCAGGGAATCAATAAGAAACCTTGGTCATTTAAACACATCCCCACTGCAATTTTAATTATGTGTATATATGTTTTTCTGCATGTGGGTTTGTGTGTGTGAGTGCAGTGCCCACAGAGGCCAGAAATGTCAGGTCTCCCAAGGTTGGAATTACAGATGATCATAAGCTACTGAGAAGGTGCTAGGAACCGAACCTGGGATCTCCTGGAAGAGTAGCCAGTGCTCTTAACTGCTAATTCATCTCCTCTTGAGACATATTTTGTTATCATATGTGATAGCTAATTTGTTTTATTGACTGTCCTTTAGTATTAGGAGTTTAATTTTCACTTAAAATTACTATTTTCATTATTGTTGTATTACATGCTCATGCCACAGTGTTTATATGAAGATCAGAGGGAAAACTGCTGAGCCTTGGCGCTGGTCCTTCCTTCACTTTTAAGATGTCCTTACTAGTAATAGCAACACATCAGGGCAATAAGTAATGCCATTAATTATTGAAAATTACAATAAAAATTACAATAAAATTACACTTGAAAATTTAACACATCATGTTGGCCTGTTGTTTTAAATCAGAATTCGAAGGTCATCCTTTAGTTCAAAAGATGAAAAGAGAGAAGACAGAACACCGTATCAGTTGGTCAAGAAACTTCAGAAAAAAATCAGACAATTTGAGGAGCAATTTGAAAGGGAAAGAAATAGCAAGGTAAGTTTCTCGTGCTGCCTATAACAAGTCTAAATTCATACTACAGCCGAGAGAGGAGGATCTTAGAGTGGGCGCTCCAGCTCTCTGCTCAGAACACACCCGAGATCCTAGAGAAGCAGTAGTGGTCCTAGACACCTGCGCGCCAGCGGGTCCTCAGGACTGGATTGCAGGGACAGTGTGTTTTTATGTTTTCATGTGCAAACAACGTTTTAGAATTTTTAAACTAAATTCTTTACATTAAAAGATCAAAGTTTTGCTCTGAGATAAACCACAAGTAACAAAAGGGGAGGGAGAAATGAAGAAATTGTGTACTTCTAATGATTAGAAGTCTGATGCCTAGAAATGAAACACTACCTTCAAACCAGGCTCCTCCCAGCTGTCTGACCATGAAAAGCTCGATAACAGATGAAAGTAAAGTGAGAATTGAGTGAAATTTATGTTATAGGAACCATAAAATACCATGGGGAATAAATTAATGTAACTGTTGTGTATTACAAATGTCAGTGATCCTTCTCCATAACTTTATAGCCCTCCTACAGTGACATTGCAGCCAATCCGAAGGTATTAAAATGGATGACAGAGCTTACAAAGTTACGGAAGCAAATTAAAGGTAAAAGTGTGCATTTTGTGGAAAATCTGCATCTTAAAAGCATAATTCTGTACCAAAATTTGTTATAATTTTTATAATTTAAATCTTGGAACTGCTGCACGCCTTTAATACCAGCACTTAGGAGGCAGAGGCAGGCGTATCTTTGAGTTCGAGGCCAGCCTGGTCTACAGAGCAAGTTCCATGACAGCCTGAGCTACATAGAGAAATCCTAACTTGAAAAACAAAACAAAATAAAAAATAATAAATCTATTTGGAGCTTTTTTGGGGAAAAAATAGATTTCCTTTTATTTTTAAGGCCAGTAGTGCATATTGAAAAATGAGAATCTTTGTGCTGTGTTCTTTCCAATGTCTTGTCTTGTATGAGTATTATTACTCTTTTGGAAGATCCCTACATTACATTCATATGTGCATTGATCCTGTACAGTTTATCTGAAATAGTTCTAAATATCGAGTTGCTTTGGGTTTTGGTAGGTACTTCATTAAGATCTTTGTGCATGGATGGGAAGTAAAATTTTATCTAAGCTAATATAACTAGGAGCTGGGAGTGTTGCTCAGTGGTGGAGTACTTTCCTACTATGTGTGTGGCCCTGTGTTCCATCTCTAGTCCCTAGGCTTAGTGAATTTTTGAAACTATAAAAATTAATTGCTAAATTGTAAATTTTTCCTGAGTCATAAATTATGCCAGATATTTTAGTATAGTGTTAATATGGTTAAATTTTATTTATTCTGTGTTTACTGAGTGTGCTTTAATAATTACCACTACTTTAAAAGTTACTTGTGTGAAGAAAGGGCTTACAATGTGAATCATTGCTTTGATTCATTTGAACTTAGTGAAATTTTTAATATCTAAGATTTAAGACATTTTTCCTACTGTTGTAGACTTTAGTCTTGTGGTTAAGGTCATTTCTTTGAACTTTTTTAAAAGAATTATCTCCCTCTATAGTTCTAGTAAACATTTCCTTATTATTTAAACCACTTTCCAGCCATTAATTATGACATTAAATTGACCAGAGAGCCTAATTAATGTTCCAATTCTCTTCCACTCTCACTGTCCTGTAGTCCGTCCTTTGCACACCATTGGAAGTATTTTTTAAAAAATATGGTTACTTTTTTGTTACATTCTCCCACTGGGTTTCCCTTTCTAAGTCTAAACCCTATACCATAGCTTTTAAGAACTTGCACACACTGCTCTTTGTAGATTTTTATCTTGTTAATGTCTCATTTTCTGTTCTCAATCTTAGAAGAATTTAGGGCTTTTGACCAGGCTATTGTCTCAATTGGGCACAAATGCTATTTCCCTAAGTCTTCTGTGCTGGGTATAGTTGAATGTGGAATATTCTATTCATTCCATGTTCAACCAGAATGACACCATTGAGAGAGGCCTTCTTTGTTTTTTTTTGTTTGTTTGTTTTTGTTTTGTTTTTCCAGACAGGGTTTCTCTGTGTAGCCCTTACTGTCCCAGAACTCTGTAGACCTGGCTACCCTCCTGAATGCTGGGATTAAAGGCATGTGCCACCACTGCCCAGTTAGACATTCTTTTCTTTGTTAATTCTACTTAGTATTGTTCTTCCTCCACAAAGGATGCTCTTTAGCACTGTGACTCCCACTTTAATTTTTGTTGTGTGCAGTCTAGAGTTCAATGTCAAACACCTTTCTCAATAATTTAAAAAAAAAATCAATTTTTTTTTTCTTTGAGACAGGGTATCTCTGTGTAGCCCTGACTGATCTGGAACTCACTGTGTAGAACAGGCTGGCCTTGAACAGAGATCCACCTGCCTTTGCCTCCCTAGTACTAGAATTAAACGCGCATTGCCTCTAAACCCAGCCCATGCTCAGATATTTTAAGACAGGGTCTCTCATTGAACCTGGAGCTCACTGAATGGTTAGCTTGGCTAGGCAGCAAGCCTCAGAGCGCCTCCCACCTCTGCTTTTCCCGGGCTGGGTTATAGGTGCTGGGAATCTAACTGAGGTCTTTAGGCTGCACAGCAGACACTTTCCCAACTGCACCATCTCCCAGCCCTCTTTTTATCTTCTTCATAACACTTAGCAGTTGAAATAACTAAAACTATTAATAGAATTGTCTTTCCTTCCTTGAAAAACAGTATGTACACCATAAAAATGTGTTTTGTTTACTTCTCTTTGGTGCTTATAAAGCTATCATGCTTTGCAGTAGGCTACTTATAAATATTACATAAAGGGACAAGTAGGATAGTTCTCTTGCTGTGTGCACACTGCATGCTAAAGGTGTGGCTTGGAAATGTATGTTACTGATTATTAATCATCTTATTTCTGAAATTTAGATGCAAAACACAAAAACTGTGATGGAGAATTTGTACCTCAGACACGTCCTCGGAGTAACACTCTTCCAAAAAGTTTTGGCTCTTCTCTAGACCATGAAGATGAGGAGAATGAAGGTGAGCCCAGAGTCATTCAGAAAGAGAAGAAGCCGTCTAAGGAAGCCACTCTTGAACTTATCACAAAACGATTGAAGGAAAACCGTGCTGAGCGTCACCTACCTGAGGATATCAAGGTAATGCTGAGCTATGGTCTCTGCCCGGGGTAACCTTTAAGAGTGCCTGAAACGAAATAACTAGCACAGCAGGGTGGAGCATGGGCTGCCTGACTTTTCTACCCTTCAGATCTGCCACTTCAAAATATGCTTTTAAAACTTGGAGTACTATGTATTAGTGCATGTTGCAGGTTGTTGGCAAGATACTGATGTGTAGAGTATAAAATGGCTGAATTTGAGTGGTTGCTGTATATATTAGCCTATTGGACTCTGGCATAAACTGTGTGGGTTCTGCCACATGGTTTTTTTCAACATTCCTATGAGAAATATAAATGTGATATTAGCCATTGGAAAAAAAAAATCTTGCCAGGTGGTGGTGGGACACATCTTTAATCCTAGCACTTGGAAGGTAGAGGCAGATGGATCTCTAAATTCAAGACCATCCTGGTCTACAGAGTGAGTTCCAGGATAGCCAGGTCTACACAGAAACCAAACAAACAAAAAAGATAAAAAGAAAAGATACCACTCAAAAGCCTGACATGGTGGCACATATCTGTAATCCACGTACTAGAGAATTGGAGGCAGGGGGATCAGGAGTTCAAGCTACATAGTGAGCTTGAGCCCAGCAAGGGCCACATGACACCCTGTTTAAAAAACAAAACCAAACAACCAAAAAACCTGGACAATCTAATTGTTAGCAGGATTGCATGAATTATGTTTTTTAGGAATGATTACTGTTGTGTATGGTATAGGTATGTATGGATCCATGCTTCTCCGTGTGCATGGAAGCCAAAGGCAACCATCTGGTTAGGACTATCTGCCTCGGTCCCTAAGACAAGATTTCATTGCACCTGTGAGCAGACCCCATTACCCCACAAAGTCCTCTGTGAGGCAGTCCAAGCAGAGCTCTTAGGAACCACGTTGTATGTGAGGTGAGATTGCTGGGGAGATAGTCTCAGGGGAACCCAGACACCCTGACAACAGAATCCACCTCTCTAGTGATTTAAATATGTGAGTCTTTGTTTCCCTGGAACAGGGCTAAGTAGTCTTTTTTACCCCTCCTTCAGCGTTTTCTTTGTTCTTGTGGCTGTTTTTGTTAGAACAGCAGTCTACTCCCACTGCAAGTGGTTTGGTTGCATTAGCTTAGTTCAGATTTACAACCCTAGATTTCAGAGTTGAGACTTGAAAGTGGAATGGCAGTTTGTGTAGGTCTACACTCAGCTGTTGCTTACGGCATGAGAGTGTCCAAAGTGTGATTTGTAACTTCCTCTGGTAAGAGGCTGAGAACTGTTTGCTGTTCCTGGAATCTGTAGAATTTATTTGGTCTAGTTGAAGGGTATCTTGTGGAACATTGGTTCATTGAGATAATGGATGAGTCTGTGGAATAAAAGGAAAATTTGTATACAAACACGTAGGGAGTTCTGCCTGCCATGCCATTCAGAATATTAAGATAGGTGTATTACACTGTAAAGAACATGTCAGCCCATATAGAGGGAAACATGAAGTTATAGGATGGAGGTCTAAGGTTTCAATTGGACGTTTTTGAGCTTTCAATAGGATCTTTACACTATATTCCCTGGGTCAGCTGTTTATGTGTTGAAATGTGTGTCTGCCTTCACTAGTCTTTTGGTGTCTCATTTATCTATCTATCTACTTGTCTGTCTGTCATATCATCCATCCATCCATTTTTTTTGTGCCAGTTGAATCCAGGGACCCTTGCACAAGCTGGGCACATGTGCCACTGAGTTCCATCAGTATCCTTATTTTTTTTTGAGAAAGGCCCTCTCTCATTGTGTAGGCCACACTGACCTTAAATTTCTGATTCCTCCTCTTCTGCCTCTAGAATGCTGGATTATAGGCCTCTGACCACAATGCCTTGCCTGTAGTCACTAGTCTTTTTTTTTAAGAGTGTGTGTGTGAGCGGGTGAGTGTGTGTGTGAGTGAGTGTGTGTG